CACGCCACCCAGAACAAGGGTAAGCTTGATGCCCCTCGCGAGGGACTAGAATGGTGAAGCGGGAACCCGGACTTGACAAAGTCAACCACACCAGCAACCTTCTTCTGGCGCTGGAGACCAGCCAGCTGCAGCTTGGCCTTCTGCAGAGACTCGGAGACGTCGATGTACTGCTTGATCTTGGGCGCCTTGCCCGACCAGATGCCCTTCTTCCCCTCCTTGGCCTTCTCCTGGGCCGCAAGAAGCTCGTCGTAGTTGGAAGCCCGATCCGTGTCGTCCTTGCGGTGGCGGATGACCGTGGCGTAGCCATGCTCGACCAGGAGCAGACCGATGTTCTGGTTCTTCTCCGTCACAGTAGCAACGTCGCGAGCCTCGAAGCCATCAGCGGCGGCCTTGTGGCCATCAATGCTGACACGGACGTGCTTAGCAATGACCTTCTTGCGCAGGAACTCCTTGGCCTCGTCTCTGTACGGCGCCTCGGTCGGCTCGCCAGCGCGGGGACCCCTGATGCTGCTAAAGTTGATGCGCTTCTCCGTCTTTCCTTCCTTGCTGCGGACAATAATGGTGTCGGCGCCGACAATCTTGGTGACGGTCATGTCAGACTGAGCGCCGCCCTCCTTGGCAACGTGGTTCTGGTGCAGGCGGATCTTCTTGCCCTGGGCCGTCTTCTCGGCCGCGCGCAGCGGGGCCATCTTCTCGCCAAGCATCGTCGAGTGGAAATCGTTGCAGCGAGCAAGGCCTTCTGACAGCAAGAACTCGGCAATGTTCTTGTTACCGTTGGGGTGGATGATGGTAGCGACAAGCTGGCCCTGGGAGCTGGCACCGACAATGTCAACCTTGACCTTGCGCTGAAGCATACGCTCCTCGACGAAAGTCTTTGCTTCGTTGCCAAACTCCTCCGCCGGCTGCGTCTGGCCAGTGGACTGTACTGTCCTCTCCGTGGCGGGCGTGCGCACACCAGCAAGCAACGTCATGACCTGAGCGTGCTTCTTGTCGGAGAGCAGCAGGCGGACGAGCAGACGATCGCCGCTGAGGACGCGCTCGATGATGCCGTCAACCGTCTTGCCCTTCCATTGGTTCATGAACTCAGGGCCGCCGAGGTCATTCTGAACCTGGATCGAGCCGCCAGAGCCAGACCAGACACCAATAGACTCGCTCTTGGCCTGGCTCTCGAGGCCACGAAGCAGATCAAGGCGTTCGAGAATTTCTTCCGACTCTTCCTTGCGACCAGCATCTTCCCTGACCTTCAGCCAGCCGGCCTTGACAGCCTCATCGGGTAGTGATGGGCCCTCTCTTGACAGCAGGACGGTGCCAAAGTCACGACCAGAGGGAACGGTGTAGAGGACGGTACATTGGACCTGCTTGCCGACGTTTTCTCGGAGGTATTCGCGGGCTTGGAAGGCGTAGGGTTCGTCGCCCTCCTTGCGCAGGCGTGGGGCGTCAACGAAGGCCAGGGAGAAAGTTCGCTCGGCCTTGGGGTTTTGAGGGTTCGTCAAGATCAGCGTATCGCCTGAGAGCACGCTCTTGACCTTGGCGAAAAATGTCTTGGACATTGTAAAGGCTATCCGGGGGGGGGGGGGAGGTCTTCTGTGAGGCCTGTGGTCGTTAGAATATGATTTGTACAGGTTGCAAGCTCGAGGCGGTCAAGGGGACTCGATAATGTGGCAGTGGTTTGGTGGGCAATGACGGCAGAAAAAGCAATGATGAAAATGCGAGCCTTCGCAGTCAGAGCCACGAGCTCGTCTCCTCATCGAGAGACACAATGGCAGCGGCTTCTGTGAATATGCCTGCAATCCACAAGGTGCGGCGTATAGGGCAGCTGCAGGAAGCTCAGGTACGGCGGGGGCAAGCGAAGCTACACGATCCGACCGGCGGGAAGGGGAAGCTAGGTACCATAGCTACAGGATAGACACGTACCTTGGAACCGGGACCGATAAAGACGAGCACCGAGATGATGTTGAAACGTAGGATGAGGTTGGAAGAAGATGAGAGCACTCCCAGAAGCACACGATTTTGAATGGTTGTTGATAATAGAAAGGAGATTTCGAAGGTTCAAAGTGGTTCCAGAGCACGAGATCTCGGTCTGGCGCTGGGCCACACCCACCCACACGAGCGCCTGCCGTTCACTTTGAACAGCTTGCCTCAATTTTGGCTGGGGGAAGGGGCAACTGTGGGGAAGGAGCTCCAGGGGACCAGCAGCGGACAGGGGTCCTACTGGCTGGTTCGGGGTTAGGTGCTGTTTAAGCGAGGGGCTCGATGCCAGTCACCGCTGGCCGAGGCGTCACAGCTTCAGCCCAGGGTTATGGTGGAGCTGCACGAACGTGTCTGGCCTCGTCAGACAAGACGGAAGACTCGAAGATATCATGATGACTTTTGTGCAGCGGTTGCATTGAGTTTCTGCTGCATTGGTTAACAATGCAGGCGACTGTGACTGGAACGATGGTGGAAGGACATGAGAAGGCGGTCACGTCATGTCTACCCCTCACAGTGCATTTTTAACAAAGACACTGTGTATTACCAGCTCCGAGCTCAAGAGTAGCCGTCTAGTAATCGAATGGAATCGAGCATGGTATTACAATGACATTCAAGACATCAGGTCAAGGTTACATACGAGGACTGGATTGGAAAGTCTTTGGACGGGGAAAGTGAAGGTGTATTCAATCTGGTTTTTAGAGCTTTAAATATCTCTCAATCTTCGAAAGACCTACACTCTTCAAGCCACCCAGCTATTCAGGCAACGGCAAGACATCAACTCTTAGTTAGAGATGCCGATGACACCGCAAGCGGGACGGGGGCCGGCGTTACCGGTCTTGAGGGACTCGGCGTGACCACCCTTGCCGAGATCGTCGGTGCCTCCGTGGACAACGACGGTACGCTGGTCTTGTTAGCTGCAATTCCTTCCTCGCTTGCCGGCACCATGGCCCTGGGGGTGTTGGGCAAGACAAGACGGCAAGATGAACTTACGCCAATAACGCTGTGGGGGCCGATCAGCTTGATGAAAGAGTCCTGAACGGAACCCTTGGAGTTGCCCTGGGCGTCGGTCTTGATGTTGCCGAGGTCACCAACGTGGCGGTCCTCGTCCGAGGGCGCGCCGTGGTTCTTGCTGTGGGGGTTGACTGCGGAACGCCAGTCAGCATCTTGATATTGTCTGACGGTATCGGGAACCCAAGGTAAGGAGGAGCGGCAGGGGCCGAGGACTCACAGTGAGGGCCGGCAGAGGTGCAGCCGTTGGTGTTGTCACCCAAAGTGTGGGATGGGAATGCCGTGCTCGCATTCGGCGACTGTTGCCGGAGATG